TAATGGGATGCACGTGTTCATTGTATCATTGTATCACAGTTCCTTATATTTTACATGTTTTTCATGAGTATTATTTTCCAAATGTTTAATATTTAATAAAAACTTTTTTAAAAACAGACATCCAACAGGACAATAAAGAATGGCTTTTTAATGGTATCATTATTATAGCTTATCAGCAAAACAATAATTAAAATAATATTTTTAAACAGAATGTAAAATAAAGGAATGATATAGAGTAGGCTCGATTGTTTCTCACCAGTGTAGCACTCCAACAATAACAGGTATTATTGCCCCTCTTACCCTAAGTGAACTAATACAACATATAATGTAATAATGCTATTCTCTTAGCTTGACTAATTATTTTTGCAAAGGTGGAGTCAATATCCTTGACCAAAAGTAATTGCCAATTGAGTGACTGAAAACATTATTTCTGACTGGTTATTCATTCATTTCAATCAATTTGATTTAGAACAAACCAGCAAGGGCCGGGAGAGGGCAGGAAATAAACAGAACAGGTCCCAGACCCTGTGAATGCTCCTTTGAAAACCCCTCTTCACAATCCTCCCCTGCCATGTCAGTGGCCATCATCTTAGGTTCACTTTTAGTGTCCACATCATAGGTTTTCATTTTGGATGCCCCCATCATAGTTTTGTGCTCTTGGGACTACAGGTAAAACAAAACAACCTAAGTGAAACTCAGAACAGGCATCAGTTTTGTAAAAAAAATAGAATAGAGCAAAAAGGAACAGTGACTGGAAAATACAGGAGTGTCTTGCAAAAAGAAAACAAAATGGGGGGAGAACAAAGAAGCCTTTAAAGAAACTAGAATCCACTTGGCATCAGGTCTTGGATGCACCTCTTAGGCCATGCTTCAACCCATTGTCTCAGGAAAGGCTATGCTGGAGCCTGTTCTGCTCAAAACATCCTCTGATCCTCCGCTTCAATATTCTTGTTCTTCTCTGGCCTCCCTGGTCTTGACACTTGATTTTTTTGTCTTGCTTTGCCCCTGTGGGTTAAATATTCTTCTAGATTGTCTACCTGGTTTGAGGTTTTCCCTTTGACGGTTTTTCTCAAGTTCTTCTTACACTACCCCTTAGATTATAGAACACAGAAAAATATCAGCTCACCCTCACACCCAACTTGGGCCTGCACACCTGCAGGTTGGGGCTGGCATTCTGGGCTACTGCTTAGGTGGAAAGAGAACTCAGACACTACCTGGAGACTTAAGAACAGCATCTCTCAGAACCACTGGGATGAGCAGAAAAGTCATCTTATTTAAGGAGAAAGGTATATAGTTTTCTTTGTTCAAGACATCAAATCCAATGAACAAAGAACTGAGCTGGAGAAGAACCCTGAAAACAGAAGGCACACTAAATTTTATTTTTCCTGCAAAGGCATTTGGTCACAAATGGCAAACAGTTAAGTGATACCTGCCCAAATAATCATCTCTCACCACTCTCCCCTCATATATAAAGACTGAGAAGTATGTTGCCTCTTCCTGGAAAAGACTCCTCAGCCATTCTTAATATTGAAAAAACAAACAACATAACAGTTTTAATCTTCAACACCTTTGCTGTAAGGTCCTTTCTTCAAATGAGGAAAACGTACTCCAGATTTTCTGCTGTATTGTACATCTTGATCATAGTTTAATGATGGGATGTTCTAGTTAGTTGTATGTCTGTTTGTTTCTCCAGCAGACTCTCATTTCGGTGCAGCTGGGGTCATATCTTTTTCACTTTGTATTTCTCACCCTTGCACAGAGTTATTCATCAAACAACATCTGAATGAGTGAAAATCTGAAAAGGAATCAGATCCCATCTTTTATCTTTACAAATTCATCTGTTTTTACTGACTATGCTGCTACAACCAGAAAACTGAGGCATGGGAAGGGGTCTTCAGAGTGGACTCAAAGAGGCTTGAGAAGGGCTTGCGATTTGGAATAAATTTGAAATAATTTGAGATGTATTTCTAGCTTCCTTTTTAGGCTTTTGTTTACTGGAAACAAGGGGGAAACAGCACTGAAGGAGGTTTTTAGGAGTTTGAGTGGTGACCAGGCAAACATTTGTCTCCCTTCCAGGAGCTGTGCAGGCTTAACCACTGGCTGGAGGCACTGACACAGTGTTGCTCATTTGTTCTGGTCCTTTCTTGACTACTCTCTAATTCTAAGAAGTGTAGGTGGGGTAAAAGCACTGGTCTCTGCTTCTGCCCTCTACTCTTCCATCATCCTCTTTACAGCCCTGTTAGAGCAAAGTTCGCAGCAACATATTTCCCCAGTATGATAGGATTCTCAATGAATTCAGTTATTAAAACAATAGCTCACTTCTCATTCTTAGCATATTTCAGCCAAAAAATAAAGAAATGTAAGAAGGGGGACCAAAATCGAACCCTTTTAGTCAACAGAGAAGCCAAAGACACCAAACGATAACATCTTGTACCCAGCATTGCCTCTTCGTTGTACTGAGCACGTCTTTTTTTTTTTTTTTTTTTTTTTTTTTTTTTTTGAGATGGGGTCTCACTCAGTCACCCAGGCTGGAGTGCAGTGGCGCAATCTTGGCTCACGGCAACCACTGTCTCCTGGGTTCAAGGGATTCTCCCGTCTCAGCCTCTTGAGCAGCTGGGACTACAGGCACCCACCATCATGACCGGCTAATTTTTGTATTTAAGTGGAGATGGGGTTTCACCATGTGGGCCAGGCTGATCTTGAACTCATGACCTAAGGTGATCCACCCACCTTGGCCTCCCAAAGTGCTAGGATTACAGATGTGAGACACCGCGCCCTACTCAAAGCCAGACTTTCTAACGTGGGATCACAGCACAGTTGTCCTTGTTTGGATTCCCCTACCTACCTTCGCATCTCACTCACATGCTGCATCTTCACAGCCAGGGCCTGTTTCCAGGTTTAAGCCCGGCAGGCAGGGTTTGGAAGTGATACAGCACACTAGTATCTCTGCTTTACCCATAGGAGACTGCCTTGGGTCCCAGCCAGGCTGTTAGTCCACAGGTATACCCAACAGTTCCAAAGAGACAGCGACCATCGAGAAGGAGCCATGATGACGATGGCGGTTTTGTTGAAAAGAAAAGGGGGAAATGTTGGGAAAAGAGAGATCAGACTGTTACTGTGTCTATATAGAAAGAAGTAGACATAAGAGACTCCATTTTGTTCTGTATTTGAGATGCTGTTAATCTGTAACCCTACCCCCAACCCTGTCCTTGCAAGAGACATGTGCTGTGGTGACTCAAGGTTTAAGGGATTTGGGGCTGTGCAGGATGTGCTTTGTTAAACAAGTGCCTGAAGGCAGCTTGCTTGTGAAAAGTCATCACCATTCTCTTAATCTCAGGTACCCAGGGACACATACACTGCAGAAGGTCGCAGGGACCTCTGCCTAGGAAAGCTAGGTATTGTCCAAGGTTTCTCATGTGATAGTCTGAAATATGGCCTCGTGGGAAGGAAAAGACCTAATCCTCCCCCAGCCTGACACCCGTGAAGGGTCTGTACTGAGGAGGACTAGTATAAGAGGAAAGAAGGCCTCTTGGCAGTTGAGATAGAGAAAAGCCTCTGTCTCCTGCCCATCCCTGGACAATGGAACATCTGGGTGTAAAACCTGATAGTATGTTCTATTTACTGAGAAAAGAGAAAACAGCCTTAGGGCTGAAGGTGGGACGTGCTAGTGGCAATGCTGCTCTTTATGCACTAAAAAGGTTTATGGAGATGTTTTCATATGCATATCAAGGCACAGCACTTTTCCTTAAACTTACTCATGTCACAGAGATCTTTATTCATATGTCTTACTGCTGACCTTTTCCCTACAATGATCCTATTATTCTGCCACTTCCCATTTTCTAAGATGGTACAGATAATGATCAATAAATTCTGAGGGAACTCAGAGACCGGTGCCGGTGCGGGTCCTCTGTATGCTGAGCGCCGGTTCCCTGGGCCCACTTTTTCTTTCTCTATACTTTGTCTCTGTGTCTCATTTCTTTTCTCAAGTCTCTCCTTCCACCTAACGAGAAACGCCCACAGGTGTGGAGGGGCAGGTCACCCCTTCAGGATCACAGCACAGTTGCCCTTGTTTGGATTCCCCTACCTACCTTCGCATCTCACTCACATGCTGCATCTTCACAGCCAGGGCCTGTTTCCAGGTCTAAGCCCGGCAGGCAGGGTTTGGAAGTGACACAGCACACTAGTATCTCTGCTTTACCCATAGGAGACTGCCTCAGGTCCCAGCCAGAAGCCTTTCTCTTTATACAACTTCCTTATGGTTCAGAAGTAACAGGATTCTATTTAAATCTATTGGGATGCACCACCACCACCACCACCACCAACAACAACAACAAAAAACCCACTTTTTCTTTTCTTTCTTTTTTTCTTTTTTTTGAGAGAGTGATTTTTTTAAATTGAGGTACAATTTACATAACAAAAAATGAACTATTTTAAAGTGAACAAATCAGTGGAGTTGTGTACATTCACATTCATATTGTACATAGCACATTCACAGAGTTGTGCAATCATCACCTCTACCTAGTTCCAAAACATTTTCATCACCCCACAATCAAACTAAAAAAAAAAAAAATCAATTTCCTCTGTTTTAATGGATTTACCTGCTCTGGATATTTAATAGGAATGGAATCATACAATATGTGACCTATTGTGTCTGGCTTTTTTTTCCCACTGAGCATTAGCTTTTCAAGTTCATCCATATTGTAGGAGGCATTCCTCATTCCCTTTGGACTGAATAACATTTTTAACAACTTGTAGATGAATAAAAATAAGGACTTATCCAATGCAGGCATTTGAGGATATAGTCACTGCAGTCAAGATGAATAAATGTCACAGTGGGAGGGAAATGAAGAGGAGGAGGGGATGTGGGAGGATGAAGAAAATACAGATTGAGAAGCAGAAGCTCCAAGCTGTTCTGCCTGCTGAGAAGAGTTTTTGTTTTTTTTTTTTTTTCTCTCTCTCTCTCTCAGTATGATTTCCTCAAGAGAGCACAGGCCCCAGAGTCACAAAACCAGCTCTAGAGTCCTCATTCTGCCATTCACTCCTTACATGTCCCTGGACAAGTTACTTTGAGTGTTAGTCTCCACATTGTAAAATGGAAATAATAATACCTGTGCCCTCAATTTCAAAAATACTTGTGAGCACCAAATAAAAATTGTTATAAGCTATGAGGTGTGGTTGAAGTGGTAGTTACTTATTTCTCTCTACAACTGCTCAGGGAGGAAGCCCAGCTGATGTAGGACCCTCCTTAGTGATGATTTCACCTCCTTATTCCTGAGACTGTAGATTAAGGGGTTCAGCATGGGGGTGACCAGATTATTCAGAATCTGAACAGTTGCATCCAACCAGGGGCTGGGGGTTGGCCTCAGGTAAATGAGGACCACTGGCATGTAAAAAAGCAGGATGGCAGTGAGGTGGGCGCTGCAGGTGGAGAAGGCATGGCGTCGGCCCTCGGCAGAGTGGATCTGCAGGATGGAGAAGACGATGCGACTGTAAGAGGTGAGGATGAGAAGGAAACAGCTGAGGGGCATGAGGCCCACGCTGATGAACCCCACCATCTCCAGGGCGGAGGTATCTGCGCAAGCCAGCTTCAGCATGACTGGGATATCACAGAAATAATAGTCCACCTCATTGGGGCCACAGTAAGGCAATTGGAAGGTGAGAGTGGTCAGAAAGGTGGCCTGAATGCAGCCAAAGAATGAGGTCCCCATGGCTAGGATGACGCACGCTCTGTGGCTCATGATTACGGTGTAGCGTAGAGGGTGACAAATGGCAACAAAGCGGTCGTAGGCCATCACCGTGTACAGGAAACACTCAGTGCAGCCCAGGAAATGGTAGAAGAAGAGCTGGGATGCACAGCCTGCATAGGAGATGGCTCGGCTATTCCCTGAAAGATAGCACAGCATCTTAGGGGAACTCACAGAAGGGAAAAATATGTCAAAAATAGAAAGTTTGCACAGGAAGAAGTACATGGGCGTGTGAAGCCTAGTGGAGGAGACAATAGCCAGCAAGATGAGCAGGTTCCCCATAAGGGTGAAGATGTAGAAGGACAAAAACAGGACCAAGAGCATAGTCTCCAGACCCTCTGTGTGCGGGATGCCCAGCAGGATGAATTCAGACACCACCGAGAGATTCTTCATGACTGTGAAAACATCTAACCTTGAAAAGGTACCCAAGACACCGAAGTCTAAATACCAATGTCAAGTTCTCAAGCTTTTTGCTGATGAGTGCTTTGGCTATGTTTTTAACAAGGAACAACCTGCCTTCTTATGAAAGGCAAGAGAGAGATCCATGTAAAAAAAAAATCAGATAATAAGGAAATGCCTATTTTAGAGTCAGTCTATTCAACTCATGGAAGGAATGCTTTGTAAAGGCAGATGCTTGTCTTCTACAGGATGAGAAGTTTAGAGGCATATTTAAAACACTTCAACTTAAGTTAGAAGCCTATGTACCATGGATTTATTCTTTTTGAGCATATTTACTATTTGAACTCTTGTGATGTCTTTACATAAGAAACTTCTACTATCCATTGTCCTCTGCAACGTAACAGAAAAATAATTATGTTAGAAACTGGAAAACTTAATATGAATCCTGGCTTTTCCATTTATTAGCTATACTTGTTAAAACAATTTACATGACATCTTTCATAGACTTAGTTTCATCATCTGCCAAATGGAAATCATACTTATTATAACATCGGTAACACAAATATCCTAGTATTAAAGTTTATGAAGTATCTGCTAAAATGTCTGGCAAAACTATGAACCCCAATGAAAAGTTTTTTTCTTTTCTTCCATAAGTTATTGGGGTACAGGTAGTTTTTAGTTACATAAGTACATGATTTAGTGGTGATTTGTGAGATTTTGTGCACCCATGACCTGAGCAGTATACACTGCACCATATTTGTAGTATTTTACCCCTTGCCCCACTCCCACTCTTCCCCCCAAGTCCACAAAGTCCATTGTATCATTCTTATGCCTTTGCATCTTCATAGCTTAGTTCCCTTTATTTTATGTATCTTAAACTTAATTCTTAAGTACCTTCCTTTAATGTCTGTATCCTGTAATTATTTGCAAAAAATATTTTATTAAATAACATCATTGAATAGATTTAAGATTACATACTCTTCAGATTACATCTTTCTAGACTTGAAAGGTCAATGATCTCCAACTCTAATAAGAGATGCTGTTCTGGTTCTTCTGTTTCTAAGCCGACTTAAGATGACTGAAATATTGAGAAGCAGTATCAGCAAGGAAAGCATCCAATTCATGTTCCCGTAATGAAGTAAAAAATACAGTGATCCATGTAAAGAAAGGCAAAGAACAGCACTAATGAGGTAGTTTACATAAGTTAAGAGCAGAGTATAGCACCTGAAAGATTCAGGGATCTCTCATTACTCAGTAATAATAATGGTAATACACACACACACACACACACACACACACACACACGCACACCATTTAATGAATACTTACTGTGTTCCAAGGACAGGCTCAGCATTTAAAAATGTATTATTTATTTTTAAAGCATACCTATAAAAAGAAATTACTATTATTATTGCTGTTCTTATCTATAGATAGGAAAGTGAAGCTTAGAAAAATCAAGCACATTTCTCATGCTTAAAAAGCTAGTATGTGACAGATTTGTTTAATTCCATTTCCTGTGCTCTCAATCATTAGGAAATTGTGCCCTCTGTTTGCCTCTGCTTTCTAAGACAGCCTTGCTTGGCAATGTACCCATTGCTTGGCAATGACACTCTTTCCAGATGCATTCACATCATTGCTTTATATTAAGGTAGGAAAAGTCTTCATGTCCTATTTCCTCCTGGTCATTTCCAATCTTGACTTTAGAGCCCAATTGATACCTCATTTAGTTTTAGAGATTACATAATAGGTATTTTCTATTCCTTTAACACTAGACCTTAGTATCAGCTCCAATTAAGGAGCTTTCAAGTTGCGGAGCCACATTCAACATAGGGATCCCAATCATAAGCTGTGGCAAGTGTCATGGAAAAGCATCTCTAAAGAGAACGACCAAGCCAGAATGAGTCACCCACATATTACCCAAGAACTGGGCAAAGTAAAGACAGTATAGAAACAGTGACATTCTGGGGAAGAAATGCTTCTGCAGTCTGCCCCTTGTTATTAATTCTAGCCTCACCTGAATCATCTCTCTGAGCAACACAGATTCCCATGAGCTTTCATCTCTTTGGTCAGCAAAGGCAAGAGGGAGAGCATCTGGTTCTTGCCTATGATCAAACACCATGATATCCTGTGATTCCATAATTTGATTTTTAAGTCCATTTCAGAAAGAAGTCACCAAAGACAAGGAAGATCTCCATGTGTGAACCCATTAGTGTGTGAGGGGAAGAGGCTAACAGTGAGACATAGGTAGAAGTTTGAACACTCACACTGTCCACCTGAGAACACAGTCAAGTTTCCCAACTGTTATAACAAGATCTCACATTTACTTTTTCTCAGCAGAGTACAGCGTCCTCCAGCCAAAGGAGCTTTAATTCTCCTATTTATAAAGAATCAAATCTCATAGGATTTGTACAATCAAGACCCATACACACTCACTCTCTCTGGATTGCTTTCTTGAAATTTCTTTTCAGAACCCCTTAAGCCCTACTTGGGACTCAGTGATAGCTCTGAGGGAGCAATTAGTTTGTCAGTAGCATTCATCACCCAATCATGAGATAACAGTAATAATATCATTGGAAAGTGATGCTCTAAAGTGGGAAATATGTTCCCCCAAGACTGTTTGCATAGTAGAAAAACACTAGTTTTAACATTAGATCGCTTGCATTGCTATCCCTTTGGTTGTCTGTTACACCTTCAAGTCTTTGCTCCAATTCAGATCAATATCATAAGTTCACGATCTCATGATAGTTTGTGTTACCACTTGCCTCATCACTTTTCAAATTATGTATACATGCATGTGACTATATGGCTAGCTCTAATAAACATCACTATTCAAGACAGAAGCCTAATCAGTAGTTATTTATTATGCATCTACTATCATGATGTATCTTCAGGTCATTACTCCTACAGAAAAACAGTCTCACATACTGGACACATTGCTGGGAAGATGACCAGTATAAATAGAGGAGCTATAAACCAAAAAACAATCAACTAAACTGTTATTATTTAATTAACAATCCACTGTAAGTACTTACCATAAACTGTCATGCTAATGTATTTAATTCATGGTCACATTTAATCTCCAAATGAAACTTTAGGAAGTAGATAGTATTACTTGACAAAGAAACTGGACAACAGATTAAATAATCTAGAGATTACACAACTAGAAAGTAAATGAGCTGAGATTGTAATTTCAAAGCCAATTATTTTAAGCACTAGGCTATGCTGAATTACAGAGATTTGAGTCTTGCACCAAAAGAAGAGAAAGAGATTTAATGTGGTCTTCAAATGCTTGCAAAGCTGGTAGGTAGACTTGGTAGGAGTTGTTTTACACAGACTCAAGAACCATGGGCAGATAGAAAGATAGATTTATTTTCAATGTAAAAAATAAATGTTTAATTATTAGAAATTTTACATCAATGAAATAAGCAACCTTTTGATGTAATGATCTCATCACTGGAAGTAATTCAAGAAGAGGTAAAGAGAACCATCTTTCAGGTATACCATTAAGGATATTCTCAATTTGAATGAATAACATGAATTCAAAAACCTTAAAGTTTTTTCTTAGTATGAAATTATTTGATTTTATTTCCACCATAAAACTTTTCAATGATTCTGACCTAACACCATACAAGTGGAGCTTTAAATTAATGATGATAATTCAACTAACCCCTAAAGCAAAAGCAATTATGAATATGCCCATAGCAGTTACAAAAGTAGTTACAAAGGTTACAAAACTGTTACCATTGTAATACCAAGGACAGGTTCAGCATTTTAAAATTTATTATTTATTTTTAAAGTATACCTATAAAAAGAAATTACTATTATTATTACCGTTCTTATCTACAGATGGGAAAGTGAAGCTTAGAAAAATCAAGCACATTTCTCATGCTTAAAAAGCTAGTATGTGACAGATTTGTTTAATTCCATTTCCTGTGTCCTCAATCATTAGGAAATTGTGCCCTCTGTTTGCCTCTGCTTTCTAAGACAGCCTTGCTTGGCAATGACACTCTTTCCAGATGCATTCACATCATTGCTTTATATTAAGGTAGGAAAAGTCTTCATGTCCTATTTCCTCCTGGTCATTTCCAATCTTGACTTTAGAGCCCAATTGATAAATACCTCATTTAGTTTTAGAGATCACATAACAGGTGTTTTCTATCCCTTTAACAGTAGACTTTAGTATTTTTAAGAGAGGAGAAAAGCAGGTTGTGGAGGGTGTACAGACACTGCTCAGATAGAGGCTCAGAGGATGAACGTGGTTTGTTGGGATGTCTTAGTAAGTACATCACATTTTAAATAATAGCTAACATTTTCTGTGGATTTGTTATATACTGGAATTGTGATGAGGGCTCTGTATTTAATATATCTCAATATTTACCAAAAATTTATTTCTATCTATTTTTTATAGTAGAAAGCTTAATCTCAAAGACTTTAATTAACATAACCAAGGTAACAGAGTGGGTTAATGATAGAGTTGTATCTCAAATCCAGAATAATATGGCTTCTCTCTTTGTGTTATAAAGACAAATAAGTTTATTACTAATTTTGATTTTCAAATACTCATTAATAATTAATAGCACCTAACATTTGCAGTTGTTCTAGTTTTCCAATACACTTTTATGTAGTTCTAATTAATTCTTAAGAGCTGTGTAAGGTGGATTTTCTTTTTTTTTTTTTTTTTTTTGAGGCGGAGTCTCGCTCTGTCGCCCAGGCTGGAGTGCAGTGGCGCGATCTCGGCTCACAGCAAGCTCCGCCTCCCGGTTCCCGCCATTCTCCTGCTCAGCCTCCCGAGTAGCTGGACTACAGCCCCACCACGCCCGCTAATTTTTTTATTTTTAGTGAGACGGGTTTCATTGTGTAGCCAGATGGTCTCGATCTCCTGACCTCGTGTCCGCCGTCTCGGCCTCCCAAAGTGCTGGGATTACAGGCTTGAGCCACCGCGCCCGGCCTAGGTGGATTTTCTTAACTCCACTTTACAAATAAGGACATTAAACCTCAGAGCAATTCTGGCTTTTCTAAAGTTAAACAGTAGAAGAGCCCAGGCATTCCCAGGTTTAGCTGTCTTTCCACTACATCATCACTGCTTCCCAAAGTGACTCCATACAGAAAGCAGCTGTCTCTGGATGAGAGACAAATTATTAATAGATTCATTTGGATATTTGGTTAAGCCTTCAGTATAACCTTATGGTCATTACTGTTTTTATCGTGGATTCCCTGACAAGATTATGGCATCAAAATATAATGAGATAGGCTGGGCATGGTGGCTCATGCCTGTAATCCCAGCACTTTGGGAGGATGAGGTAGGTGGGTCACTTGAGGTCAGGAGTTCAAGACTAGCCTGGCCAACATGGTGAAACCCCACCTCTACTAAAAATGCAAAAATTAGCCGGGCATGGTGGCATGTGCCTGTAATGCCAGCTACTCGGAGGCTGAGGTGGCAAAATTGCTTAAACTAGGTGGGTAGAGGTTGCAGTGAGCCGAGATCATACTACTGCACTCCAGTCTGGTGACAGAGCGAGAGTCCGTCTCAATAATAACAATAAGAATAAGAGAAAGCGTCAGAGGAACAAACAGAGAGAGTGAGAGAAACTTATTTAGCTCATGTTCTGTTTCCTAGGGAAAAAGTCCCACTAGAAAGTTTACTACATATTTCTCAGAAGAGCTCTCTTGCCATGGTATGACTTGTGGGGAAATTTGCA